TTTTTAAAAATTTAATGTATCAATTTTAAAAATTAATTGCTAAATTAAGTATTTTATTTATTATATCTATTTTAAAGTTAATTTAATATTTATAATTATTTAATTAAAAAATTAAATTTTAAATATATTTAACACTATCAATAAATTAATTATATATATTCAGTTAAGAAAATCGATTTACATGATCTACCCAAATAATAAAATGTTAAATCCTAAATTGTTAATTTTTTAAAATATTAATTGGACAGTTACATTTTTGCTACTGAGATTTTAATTTTTTTGTGAGTCAATATTTTTCTTTTAAACTTGAACCATGTGATAAGAGCTAATGCTTCTCTTTCCAAATCTTTTTTTACTCATTTCACAATTCAAATTTAAGACCTCTAATATAAGAACCAAAATCTAAAATTAATGATATAGCATAAATTATATCATTTAAAATATTAAAAGATAAATTTTATATTATTTAATTATAAATTATTCTTATTTTTTTGAAACTTAAAATATTATTAATATCAATTTATTTAATAATATAATTTATATCACATTATTGATCTTAAAATTTAGTTTCAAATTTTTTTGCTTTCTGTAATCAGTTTTAATAAAATTAAAGGTTTAAGTTTCCTTTAGACTTTATCCTAATTCCCTTTCTAAATTGTGGTTAAACTTTATTTTTTTTTTTTTTTTTGAACATATTTTGCAAGGGCAAGTTTTGAACCCTGCCAGGGAAGGGGGAATGCACCGGTGGCTATGCCACTAGGCCTCAAGGACCAGGTGCATTGTTAAACTTTAATTTATCTTTTGAAGTAAAGCTTTTGTTATTAAGTTTTTTAATTTGATAATTTTATTAATTTTTAGAATATTTTATAATTATTTTATATCAATTTACATTTAAGCATTTTACTTAATTAACCTTCAATTGTAATTATAGCCATACATTATAATGTTAATATCACATAATTTTGTGGCAGAATACCCAAATCCACTCCCAAAGTATAGTGGCAGGAACGGATCCACCTTCGAACAAAAAACGGGACAAATCCACCCACAAAGTTTTTGACTTGGACAAATCACCACAAATTTAACGTGTGACGTCATTTGACATCAGCAATCTGTTAATTTGACGTCATCTGACGTCAGTAATCCGTTAACGAATTAACGAATTGCTGATGTCAAATGACGTCATACATTAAATTTGGAGTGATTTGTCCAAGTCGAAAACTTTGTGGGTGGATTTGTCCTCGTTTTTTGTTCGAGGGTAGATCTGTCCCTACCACTATACTTTGGGGGTGGATTTAGGTATTTTACCTAATTTTGTTCAATTTAATTATTAAAAGTAATTGATAATTAATAAACATAATTAATATTTATTATTTAATTAATTTATAAATTAATATTTTTAAAAATTATAAATAATTTTTAAAAAAATTATAAATTAATAAAATATTAATTAAATTAAACAATATTTAAGTAACGACAACAAAATAATGTACGGTAACAACCACACGTTAACCTCAGCATTTTTACCGAACAAAAGCAAATGGATGACCTTGCCCGAAGCGAGAGCCACGAAAGGTGAAGGTACGTCCTTTTTTTTTTTTATTAAAATAAATTTGCAAAAAGATTGAATTCAAACTATTATTTGAAAAAAAAGAAATGCATTTTACAGATAATTTAAAGTTATTGAACCAAAAATTCAAGTGTAAGATGAAAATATAATTTAATGAAACTGAAAGATAAAAGATATATATTTTAAATAACAGAATATTAATAAATAAAAAATAGAAGGGTGTTAATGAAAAAAATTAATGAATAGTTATTTTATTAAAAATAATATTAAATAACTTTATATTTAATTAATATTAAATGACTTTTTTTTAAAGATTTTTTTTGGGGGGAGGGGGGTGTGTGTGCCCGTCAAGCCCCCTTGTCTCCGCCGGTGGTCTATATAAACCTCACATTCTTGCCTCTTCCTTCCATATATTAAGCCCCCTAGATTTCCCCTACTTTCTTCCATTCCTCAATATGTCTTGTACTACTAATTCATTCCCCATTAAGGTAGCAATATATCATCCCAAAACCAAGCCAAAATCTACAAAAAAGAAACATTACATCCCAACACTTTGTTCACCTTCATCTTCAAAGCATAATCCACTTCTTTCAAATTTCAACTTGTTAAAAGCAGCAATGAAAATCTCAATACCAACAATACCACCATCTTTTTTCTCTGCTATTGCTTCTGTGCCCCACTTGACCGACATCATAGACCCTCCGGTTCATCCTTCGGTGGATCCACAGCATGCCTTCACCGGCAACTTTGCTCCGGTGGATGAGCTCAGTCCGACAGAATGCCCCGTTATAGAGGGCAAGATTCCACTCTCTCTGAACGGCGTTTACATCCGAAATGGTCCAAATCCTCGACACAGACCCCTGAGAGCTCTCCATTTCTGCGAAGCAGATGGCATGTTGCACTCCTTACAATTCTCCAATGGCTGTGCCACTTATTGCAGCCGCTACGTTAACACTTACAAGTACAAGCTAGAGGAAGAAGCTGCCTCTCCTGTCATCCCAAATGTCTTATCAGGCTTCTACGGCCTGCTCGATGGTTTTCGCTTTTTTGCTTTTCTGCTGAAAATCATAGCGGGACAAATAAATCTCATGAATGGGTTTGGAGTAGCCAATACTAGTCTCGCCTTCATTGGGAACAAACTCTTAGCTTTATACGAAGCGGATCTTCCATATGAAATTAAGTTAACGAAAGAAGGTGATATTGAGACGTTAGGCCGATGGAATATTGATAAGATGCTGTTTGCAAGCTTCACTGCTCATCCTAAATTCGACATGGAAACCAAGGAGACCTTCGCTTTTAGGTACAGTCCGGTGTTTGCCCCTTACCTTTCCTTCTTCCGTTTCGATGAAAATGGCGTTAAGCAGAAGGAAGTGCCAATCCTTTCCATGAAGAAGCCATGTTTCATTCATGATTTTGCTATAACGAGGAGATACGCAATCTTTCAAGAGACTCAGTTAGTGCTTTCACCATTTAAAGTTGTGATGGGAGGAGGACAGCTCGTGGATTATGATCCAAAGCATATTCCAAGAATTGGGATTATCCCGAAATATGCCACAAGTGATTCAGAGATGAAGTGGTTTCATGTTCCGGGGCTTAATGTTCTTCATGCGGTGAATGCATGGGAGAATGACGAGGATGATGAGGAGATTGTTCTTGTGGCATCCAATGTCATCACCATAGAAAATATGTACGATCAATGGCTCAAATTTTCGGTAGAGAAGATAAGCATCAACATGAAGACAGGAAAAGTTGTCCGAAGTATCCTTTCTCCGAGAAATTTAGAATTCGGAACCATAAACACTTCCTACATAGGTAAGAAAAATCGTTATGCGTATTTTGGAGTTGTGGATGAAGTTGCCAAATTTTCTGGTATTGTGAAACTTGACATTGAGACAGGACAAGAAGTTGGGAGAAGATTTTATGGAAAAAGTTGCTTTGGAGGGGAGCCATTTTTTGTGGCAAAAGAAGCAGAACATGTTGAATCCGATGAAGATGATGGGTACGTGATGAGTTTTGTGCATGATGAAAAAACAGGTGAGTCAAAATTTCTGGTGATGGATGCCAAGTCGCCGGAGCTTTCAGTAATGGCGGTGATTAAGCTACCACGGCGGGTACCGTATGGGTTTCATGGTCTGTTCTTGACCAAGGAGAAATATATATATCTCTGAAAATTAATATCCATCTATAAATAATTAATTTTACTTCAAAATTGAAAGTTTGTAGCTTTGCTTTTTCTGTTTTTATGGACCAAAATGTATTGTGATATATTGTAACTTTTACTTCATGCATGTGCAAGTTTTTTTTTAGTATAATTTATCGGTATTTTACAGTTTACAATACATAAAAAGAATTTACTACAGTAATAATAAATTATGTAAAATTATTTAATGTGAATTTCTATGATAGAATACGCGTGTTTAGAAGAGACTGAATTACACAAAATAGCAAACAATACTTTGGTAGTCTTCCCTATCTTAAGATGACATATACCTATGGGAGGCCATCCTCTTTAGTTATTGCGCAGCAAAAGTGGAATTGAGAAGATTTTGAAGAGTTAATACCCACCAACCACAGCTTTTCCACCTTGAAAGCATCTAGTTTCCAAACCGAGAGCAAGGGGAGAATGTCGTCTTCATCCTCATCAAGACGAACACGATTGAGCATGGGTCCAATTCCTTCATCTGCTGTTTCTATATTTAAATTGAACCGCCAAACCATATCCAACCGCAACCCACTGAACCAATCTGTAACCACCCTAGCCATCCTCAACCCACCGAAACAGTCCACCTCCACCCTAGCAATCCATCCTGTAGATTTGAAACAGCCTTCCATCAATCGCTCCCTAAATTTGAAAGAATTGAAACGAAACAAAACAAAAAGGGAAATCGAAAAGAAACAAGAAAAAAGGCAAGCAAGTGGAGCAGATGCAAGTAAAAAAATAAAGAGAAGGAGCTCTGAAGCCGAAGAACAGACCTAAGAGAGAAACCCACCGCCTCAAAACCCTAGGGATTTTAGATCACCGGAAGGAAAGAGTTCTCTTTCTTGGGAAGAGGATAGTTTTTACTATATGAAGAGTTAATTGCTTCAACAATTTTATTCATTATATTTTAGACTGTAGCAACAAATTTTGGTTGATTTGAATGCACTTAGTGGGTAAATAAGATGTACATTTTATATTAAAAAATTAAATTTCGTATTCATATCTTGTATATTAACTTTTTATTTTATTAATATTTTTATAATTTTTATTTTGATCAACACTATTTATAATTTAAATTTTATAAAAAAAATATTAAATTATTAACAAAATTAGAGTATAAATAAAAAATTTAACCATTAATTTTTAAATTTTTTATAAAATTTAAATTATAAAAGATATTAATCAAAAATAAAAATTTTTAATAACATTAATTATAAAAAATAATATACATAATGTAAATAAAAAATTTAGCCAAAGAAAAAAAATCCCATCTTTCTTTCATGCTGTTGGAAGTACAGTATCTCTCATCCACAAGTTATTATATGGTGAACGAATTTAGTAATTCAGTGATAATATTTTTTTATTGAAAGTAGAAAACCTTTAAGTTTAAAATAAAAGATGGACTCTGCAAGATAAAAAAAAGGTAAACATATGACATAAGGATCCAAACTTACACCAAATTCGCAATTTTAAACCCAAACTTCGATTGCACTTAATGAAGGTCTCGAACTCCACGAAATTCTCAAATAACGTCCCAATTGGACGGAAAACTAACTTCCCTCAAATCTCCTATTATTCCGTTAATGTCCCGTCACATTTCACACCTGCCACTTGAAAAAAATTGGTTAAATGCTAATTTTGGTCCCTCAACTTCATTGAGTTTCACTTTTTTGTCCCTCAACTTCATTAAATTTTACTTTTTTGTCCCCTCAACTTTATTAAATTGTATTTTTTTGGTTCATAAACTATTTTTTGTACTTTTTTGGTCCTCAAATTGTTTTTTACACTTTTTTAATCCTTTAACTTTAATAACTACACAATTTTGATACTTTCATCAGTTTAAGCCATTAACTCCGTCCACTTGGTATTTTTTATATTTTTTTGATGACATATATTATCTAACTAGGAAAAAATAATAACATGGATAAATAAAATAACATGTAGATAAATCTTTATATTTTTAATAAAAAAAATATAAAAACCTCTCTACCTATTTTCTTCCCCCTCTTTCTTTCTCTTTCTTCTAGCGGGAGAAGAAAATAGATGGAGAGTTTTTTTTATTTTGGTTAAATGCTTAATTTGATCCCTTAACTTTATGAAATGCATATTTTTGATCCCTCAACAATTTTTTGCAATTTTTTGATCCCTCAACTATACAAAATGCACTCCGTTAGTCCTTCTATTAATTTGGGCCGTTAACCCTGCTTAGGTGGCATTTTTTATATTTTTTTTGATGATGTGGAGAGCAAAACTTAAAAAAGTGATAATATGCATAAAACTTCTGCCATGTCACATGCTATCCTGGCGAAATCGCGCCAAATCCATCCAAATGGGTCCCACATCACCTCTTTGCCCATTGGTTATTGTTTTTCTTCTTTCCATAAACGGTGTTCTTTCCATTTTTAAGATTGAATTAAGATTGAAGTTCGACAAAACCCAACAGATTTGGGTTCGATGTAACCTAACAAATAGGTTCCATTGAACCCAGCTCGATTTATTGAACTCAATTGCCCAAAAATCCCTCACGACAACCTGCAATTGCCCAAAAATCCCTCGCAACAACTTGTAATTTGAATAATCTCTTAGCAAATAATCATATAACAAAAAAAAAAAATCAGTTACCCAAAAATACCTCACAACAACCTGCAATTTGAATAATCTCTTCGCAAACAATCATATAAACAAAAAAAAAAAAAAAGTGGAGCTGGGTTCTGGGTTCCGTCGAACCCAGCAGATCTGGGTTCGATGGAACTTAGCAACTGGGTTCGATGGAACCTAGCAACTGGGTTCAATGGAACCCAGTGCTATGTTCCAGCGAACCCAGTTGCCTAGCCCGAGGAAGAAGAGGAAGAAAGAAGAGGAAGAAGAGGAAGAAAGAAGAGAAAGGAAGAAGATGGAATTTTTTTATTTTTTTTTAAATATAAATAGTAATCATAAGTTGGCATAAAAAAAAATCCACATCATGCAAAAAAAAAATCCATATCAACATGTTTTTAATTTGTTTTTGCCGCGTCATCAAAAAAATAATAATAAATGCCACATAAGCGAGTTAACGATCGAAATTAACAGAAGGACTAACGGAGTGCATTTCTTAAAGTTTAAGGATGAAAAAAGTGCAAAAAATTGTTGAGGGATCAAAAATGTGCAACTCACTAAAGTTGAGGGACCAAAATTAGCATTTAACCTTTTATTTTTATTAAAAATATAAAAATTTATTTACATATTATTTTATTTATCTATGTCATCATTATTCTTAATTAGATGACCTATGTTATTATTTTTTTTAGTTAGATTATACATGTCATCAAAAAAATATAAAAAATACCAAGTGGATGGAGTTAATGGCTTAAAGCCTTAAACTGATGAAAGTATCAAAATTGTATAGTTATTAAAGTTAAGGGATTAAAAAAGTGTAAAAAATTTAAGGACCAAAAAAGTACAAAAAATAGTTTATGAACCAAAAAAGTACAATTTAATAAAGTTGAGGGATAAAAAAGTGAATTTAATGAAGTTGAGGGACAAAAAAGTGAAATTTAATGAAGTTGAGGGACAAAAAAGTGAAATTTAATGAAGTTGAGGGACAAAAAAGTGAAACTGAATGAAGTTGAGGGATCAAAATTAGCATTTAACCAAGTGGCGGGTGTGAAATGTGAGGGAACATTAACGGAATAATAGGAGATTTTACGGAAGTTAGTTTTTCCGTCCAATTGGTACATTATTTGAGAATTTTCGTGGAGTTCGGGACCTTTATTGAGCGTAATCGAAGTTTGGGTCCGAAATTGCGAATTTGGTGTAAGTTTGGGTCCTTATATCATATTTTTGCCAAAAAAAAAAAGAGAGAGAGATAGATAATCCAGACAAACGCATCTTTACGTTTCATACTTTCTTTTAGGTAGGGGAAGTGCTGCAGACTGAGTAGTAAAAGATGGTCCCACCGGAACACGGCAGCAGCTCATGCTTCACGTGTATTCATTGCATCATATGCATACTGCCGTCCATGATCTTGTGGCCAAGGTTGTCAAAATCGAGATTTTACCTAAAATCGTCTCAGTTAGATAAAATCGGAATCGTAAAATTGAATCGGTAAAATTGAGATTTTACAAAATTTAATATATAATATATAATAAATTATCTAAAATCAAAATTAAATAACAATAAATCAAATTTAAAGTTAGAAACTTGAAATTAGCTAATTAAAATCTAAATATCCAACAACACAAATAAATTAAACGAAGAAAATGACTTAAATTTAGAATTTTAGATGGTTAAATCAAATTTGTCCCGAATTCCCGATTAAAATGTTGATTTGTGGTTGGGTTGTATGGGTTGTGGGTTTTTAAAATGAAAAATGAGTTTAATTTATGGGTTATCTAGTCAAAACTCACTAAGCCAAGATGAGAAGTCCAAAAGGAAATAGGCTAAAAGTCCAACTACCGAACAGAAGGTAAAATCGAGATTTTACCAGATTTTACCTGATTTCACGGTAAAATCTAGATTTTACCGTGAAATCCCCAAATTTTATAAATTTCAGATTTTAGTATAGATTTTACACGAAATGTTTTGCTTAAATCGTAAAATCGTAAGATTTTAAGATTTAAATCTAGATTTTGACAACAATGCTTGTGACCACTTATTATAACGTACCTATCCAAGACGTTATTGTTGTAATAAGATTATATTATTTTTTTTTTTAAAATACTGTATGGTAGGGTGGGGCGAGAAAATTTATAATCGAAATAACATTTGAAAACGATAAACTCGAGAGTTGGTATGTTTTAAAACAATTATTATTTGTTGGTTTTTCTACTATATATTAAAATTTTAGGGAAATTTATGTATTTATAAATTACCCATAAAGAAAGAGAATTTGATGATTACATTACATAAATAAAGTTAGTAATACATAATAATAGGGGTAAGATAGAAAAAATATATTTTTTTCTATTAAAAAAATAAAAAAAGACAATTAATCTAAAAACAAATTTGAGTAAAAAAATCACTCGTAAAAATTAGTGGAAGTATCTTCCAATTTTAGTGGGCAACAAAGAGGAGTTTTTCTTAATTTTTCAAAAAAAAAATTATAAATAGAGAAAATAAAATATTAAAATACATTGTATTTAAAATGCCAGAATTATTTGTAAAATTATTTAAATATATTTTAGATGTTGATTCATTAAAAATCTCAAAATCTAATTTTAATTATTATTCTTATTATTCTTAACATTTTAATTACTCAAAAAAAAATGATTTTCTATAATCCCCTTTTTCCTTTATAAACCGGCCTAAATTGATATGCCAAATAAGTAAATATAATTTATGATCTTCCTTTCAACTTTGCCAAATCTCCTACTAATACCCAATAAAGTGGTCTCTAAGTTTAAACTAAATGTGCCAATAATTTCCAATTTTAAGCCCATTTTTAATTTTAATTTTAAAATGGCAAATTCAGATGCTTGCGTGGACCTCCATTAAAGGATCAGATTAAGCCCACCCACCTGCATCATTGGACAGACTACACT